TTAGAGCAACCTCTTTGCTCCAGCTTCCTCATCTGAAAAGAGGTGGCACCTAGGTGTTATCCAGGGCCCTGTCCAGCTCTGCCACTCTGTCCAGCCCTTGTTCCCTCTGGGGACGGCACACTAGTTCTGGGGGCCACAATGTGGCAGTCCCAGTGGCCTTTGTCTTGTTTGGAAGCAGTCTATTGCAGATGGGTTGTGTTCCCTTCAGGGGATGGACGTCAGCTCCCATGACTGTGTCCCCGTCAGGGGATGGACGTCAGCTCCCGTGACTGTGTCCCTGTCAGGGGATGGACGTCAGCTCCCGTGACTGTGTCCCTGTCAGGGGATGGACGTCAGCTCCCTTGACTGTGTCCCCGTCAGGGGATGGACGTCAGCTCCCGTGACTGTGTCCCCGTCAGGGGATGGACGTCAGCTCCAGTGACTGTGTCCTCATCAGGGGATGGACGTCAACTCCAGTGAGCAGATTCACCTCTCTCATTACTGTTGCAGGAACAGTGTTCGGCGAAAGTGCTCAGCAAACAGTTGAATGACTGAGGAGCATGCTCCCTTGTTCTGTCTCTTGACAGGAGGAGCCCATGTGAAGACTCGAGGGTCGGGGTGGTTTGGCACTGGACTCAGCCCTGGGAGTCGGAATATGAACATATTGCAACCCCCTACCCCAAGCTGGGCTCTGTTGAGGGGAGGATACTGGGTTCCAGTCACTAGCTTCCCCTTGCTCACATGTTTGGGCCCTAGGACTTCCCACCCAGGGGCATCTTCAGCCCATCTCCACCCCCGGCTCTGCAGTCTCTCCTGGGCTCACCTCCTCAGAGGAGCAACTACACCCCCGTATTCCAACTGTGGGAGGCAATGGACTTAAGGCCCAGGGCTTACAGGGGAGAGTGAGAACATCACCCAGGAACCCTGCATCACCTCAGATAGGCAGGTCGTGCTCAGGGACTGCTCGGCCTATCCCTGGAGTTAGGGGTCTGTGTGGATGTTGGAGAGGATGGGAACTGGCTGGGGAAACTGAGTCATCCTCTGAGACTCTCACTAGGTTGGCATCAGATCCAAGACACCAGCAAATGGGGCCATTGGTCATCTGAGAGCAACTTAGGGACAGCGCCTCGGGAAAGTAGCCAGAGGGGGAGGAGGTCACAGGGGGTAGGGTGACGGGGAGGTTGTCCACCTCAGCTGGTCAGCCACAGCCTGAGTCTGGTCCCCCCCAGAGATGACCTCTCCCCATTTAGGACACACAGCAGGGGGTGGCCCTCCTGGCCAAATCAGGGTAGGGCAAATGAAGGGGGGGGTGGCACTCCATTTCCTCTTCCTCCTGAATAGAGAACCCTGAGTAATGGCCCGCGCTGTTGTTACTGCTCACCAGGTCCTGTCCCTGTAGTATCTCTTGGAAGCCTAGCATCTACCACCTGAGGCAGGACTGAGTATTCCCATTTTGTAGACCTAAAGCCCCCGGTGGGAAGCAGTTACACAGCTGTAAGGAGGGGAGCTGGGGTTTAGCCCCAGGGCCTGGGCCCGAAGGAGATCCACCCTTGGACTCAGAGTCCTTCCAGCCTCTGGTCTGAAAGAGAATCCCTAGAATCACACCAAAGCCCAGGGGAAATGAAGCGGGGGCAAACAGGGTGCATTTGAGGATCCTGGAAACCACCAACATTTGAGTGGGGCTGGGGTCACCCGAGAACCCTTAAGGGAGTAAGTATGGAGCAGGTTTCTTTGGTTTCTTGCAGTCTTCCAGAAAGGCAAGGCTAGCTGCAGTTTCCCTGGGGAAATCTGGGTGGTCAGGCATAGTAGGAGCCTGGCCCCCTACATGTTTGTAAAGTCCTCCAGAAGGAAGGGTCGTGGTCTAGAACGGAGAACTGTAAGGAAGGCAAGATTTCAGGGGAGAGGAAGAAAAAATTAGGGGGAAAAAAACTGGCAAAAGGAAAGTGGCTGGTTAGAAAGGCACATGTGGATGAATTTTAATGCAATCAGAAGGCTGTCATAATGATAATAAAGGAATACATTCAGACGTCAGGAGAGAGGAGAAGGCTCTGGGCTGTGGTCCCAGCATTTAAATCAGGTTCAGGTGGAGGAGGGGCCTACTCTTCCCTCCCCTTTTCCTTCCCGGGGAGAAGACGGAATTTCTAAGCAGGGGGGCCAGGGATTAGCTGGAGGCAGGGGGTTTTACTTCATTGTCTTTCCGGAAATCCCATTTAATCGGGGTCTTTAAAAGGCCCTGGGGGCAAGGGGGAGTCCTAGACCGGCCTGGAGCGCAGAGTTGCCACGTCCTAGGACTCCTCTGAAGGCTTGAAACGCTCTGTCCATTTCATGCAAAATGCTGCTGCAGCTTCTGGGAGCATAACATAAGCCCCTGACCCTCTCTCCTCTCTCTCTGCCTCTCCTCTGCCCATCTCTGCTCTGTCTCTTATTTTTTTTTTTAAGATTTTATTTATTTATTTTAGAGAGGGAGCACGAGCGGGGGCGGGCAGGGGCTTCAGAGGGAGAGGGAGAACCAGGCTTCCCCCTGAGCAGGGAGCCCGATGCGGGGCTCGATCCCAGGAACCTGAGATCCTGACCTGAGCTGAACGCAGATGCTGAACCAACTGAGCCACCCAGGCGCCCCTCTTTGTCTGTTTCTGATTCTTTGCCCTCCCTTTCTGCCATGTTCCTTCTCCCTCTGCCCCTAACCCCATCTCCCCCCATCCCTCCTCAGCTTCACCACTCCCTACTCTCTCCTTCCTTCTTCTTGGTTTCCCAGCCCAGACTTTGGAGTCCCAGAGCCCTGAAGATGGGGCCGGGGTGAGCCTGGTCCTGGGATGGCCCCAGAAGCCAGGTCAAGCAGCCCAGGCAGGGGCAGGTGGTGGGGCTGGGACTCCAGGCCCCAGAGCTTTGGCTGAAGCCCACTACTGGTGAAGGGTTGTGCTGGTGTGCCCCAGTCTGGCGCTGGTAACAGGAAGTGGCAAAGATGCCCTGCGGGGCATGGAAAGCGCTGGGACCCAGGGCCACCTCATCACTGAGAAGGTGCCCGGTGCTGGATGCTCTGGGCTAAGGGGTACTGGCAGGGCAGAGGTCAGGGCTTCCTGAAGAGGAGAACTCTGGGGTGGCCTATGCAGCACTGCAGGAAACCAACCAAAGAGTTGGTTTCCTCTGCTCTGTTCTAGACCCCAGGACAGCCCCTCAGCTCTATGTGAACTCCCCTGGCAGTGTGGGCAGGAGGGGAAGGGCTCTCTGGGGCAGGAGGTGCCAACCACCCTGAGCACAGATGGACACGGTCCCAGAATGCTCTCACCTTCCGAGGAACTAGGAACTCAAGGCCATTTGCAATTTGGGGGTGTGCATTTCTGCAACCTTGGCTGTGTGTGCCTGCGTTTGTCAGTCACTGGAGAGTCACCAAGCATCTAAGTGAGTACCTGCTGAGTGCTGCTACCGCAGGGATTTGGTGCCAGGTACTGTGGCTGCATAACAATTTTGCCCCAAACTGAGTGGTGTGAAACAACCATTTGTTACACTCATGGATCCTGCCGCCTAGGAATTCAGACAGGGCACAGCATGGAAGGCCTATCTCTGCTCCAGGATGTCTGGGCCTCAGCTGGAAGACTCAAAGGCTGGGGTCTGGAATCATCTGCAGACTCATTCATCGCATGTCTGGTGGTCAATGTGGGCTGTCAGCTGGGGGCCTGGGTTCCTTTCCATGAGGACTCTCTATTTGCCCTCGTTGTAAGTCCTTCACAGAAGGGTGGCTGGCTTCCATAGAGAAAACATCCTCAAAGACAGCCAAGTAGAAGCGGATCCCTTTTGTGACCTAGCTTGGAAATCAGCAGGCCTCACTTCTGCCATTCTTTATTGGTTAGAGCAGTCACAGCCCCGCCCAGGTTCAAGGGGATGGAGCACAGACCCCACCTCAGTGGGAGGAGTTAAGGCCACACTGCAGTAAGCTTGTGGGACTCAAAATCTCTGGCAGCCCCGAGCTGCTGCAGATCCACACAGCCCAGTGTGATCCTTGTTACCCTAAGCACACGGTCAGGCCAAGTGGTGTCAACAAACCATTTGGGACTCAACACAAGAGTAGGGGGAGGCTGGTGAGGGAGCCCAGCCTTCAGGAACAGGCCCTCCCGCCCCCAAAGTGCCCAGGGCTAAATTTTGCTGCCTAAAAGAGGAAGGGCCAGACCAAGGAAGAGACACCAGATGGAGGTAAAAACAATGTGAGATAGAAAGAAGGTGTGACCCTAGGAATGGCACAGGGCATTCATTCCTCCACTGCAGAACTCTGTGCTGAGGGCCCACTATGTGCCAGGTACTGCAGCTCCAGCCAAAGCCTCGTCTCTTCCCCCAGGGAGAAGACATGGGGTGGGGGCAGGGAGCTAGACCGAAACCAGCTACACAGGCAAGGCAGTAAATGATTGTCCTTTGAAACCTGGGCCATGAGAGGGAGGAGCTGAGACAGAGAATTAAAGAGAGCCAGAAGGAGGGACCTTGATGAGGAAGCAATAGACCTAGAAGAAGAGAAGTCAGCCTTGTGATATTGGAGGCACTCTGGGCAGCGGGAATAGCTTATGCAAAGGCCCTGTGGCACACTTGCCTGTTGTGAGTTAATTTTGGCATCTGTGGGTGAAGGTGGCTCAAGAAGATAGTGAGTGTATGCCTAAGAGGATGGAGGGAGGGAATGCAGAGTTGCCCAAATGACGGGTGGGCCATCTGTGTGCCATAGGTGAGCAGCCAGACCAGTGGCCTTGCTCCCTCTGGGCGGGAGGGGGCACAGTCACTGCCATCCAGCGCCCTTGACCCAAACCCTCCCTCACCTCCTCCTCTGGCTATGCTCTCCCTCTCCCCCAACCCCATCACCCTGTGGCCCATCCTGCTCTAGCCACGCCCCAGCCCTCCCTCTCCAGCTATGAGCCCTCTTCCTTGCCCAGATCTTCCCTACCCCCCCTTCCTCTTCGGTCGTGCCCTCTTACCCCCGGGCCGCCCCGGTGCAGCCCGGCTCCCCTGGCCCGGGTAAGCATCTCCTAATTTTGTTCCAGAAGATAGAAAACTCTTCGTGGGCATGCTCAACAAGCAGCAGTCCGAGGACGACGTGCGCCGCCTCTTCGAGGCCTTCGGGAACATCGAGGAGTGTACCATCCTGCGCGGGCCAGATGGCAACAGCAAGGGTGCGTGGGGGCGGGGCGGGGGAGCGGGCGGGCGAGGCCTCTGGCCAAGCACCTCATTGACGGCCAGGTCCTGGGCCACCTCCAGCTGTCCGCGACTGACCGGCGACCGAGCCAGGGAAGCATGCTTGGAAGGGGCGAGGCAGTCCGGGCCTGGGGATAAGGGACGGCCGCTAGCCGAGTCCAGACAGGGGCAGGGAGACTTCAGGGCTCTTTTAACTCTCTGGCCCGTCCAGGTCTTTCTGTGTCGCTGTGTTTCTCGGTGTCTCTGTTTCTCAGTCTCTGTGGGTCACCCGTTCTGCTTTCATCTGGGATGCGCCCTCGCCCCTCCGCCCCTCCCGTGCCCCGCCTCTCAGCCCTATAGCGCTTCTCTGGCCTTCCTGGGGGCCCTCGCGCCGTGGCTCAGCCTCTCCCGTCCCCCCAGGGTGCGCCTTTGTGAAGTACTCCTCCCACGCCGAGGCGCAAGCCGCAATCAACGCCCTGCACGGCAGCCAGACTATGCCGGTGAGTGGGCCCCCCACCCCGGGGTGGGGTGGGGGCGGGCACGGCGCCCGGGAGGGAGGGACCAAGAGCCCCGCAGGGCCCCGCTTGCCCTTGCGCTCCGTGCACACCATGCGGCGCTCACAGCCTCCCCGAGAGGCAGGAAGGCATTATCAGTAACCCCATTTCTCAGACAAGGACTCCGAGGCCCAAAGATGTTAAGGAACTGGACTGCCCCTAGATAAAAACCGCCCGCGGTGGGGTTAAGATCCAGGACTGCTGGGCCAGTGCAAGCGCGGGAGCTAGCCTTCCGTTACCG